AAACATGACCTCGGACTGTAAAAACCAGAGCAGTAGCAGAGAGACATGCTCATTTGCTTGAAAAATAAACAAATCAGATCTGTTTTTACCAACCAGATAGTTTTAAATTTTCGCCATGATTCTAAAGGACAGATTTTACTTTGCTAAATACTAAAATTGGTTAAACGCTGCAATTAGGCAAACTTGGGGGTGGGGGCACTAAACTGGAAAACTAATAACCACAACACATTTCGCTATAATATCTAGTAAACTTCAGTAAATAAAGATGAAATCACATCTAAAATTTTAATGAGTTCTTTACTTTTTGTCCTAAAAGGTCGCCAAAATAGTTTTTTGCCATAACAGTTGCTATTGTTTGCTTTTCAATATAAAAATGTATTTTCTTAAGTATTGTTCTCTAATGACCAACGTTTTTCTTTTACTGCAGAATTCAAAAATGGTTAGGTTTAGGCATGTACAGTATTTATGTTTCTGAATCTTTACCGGTACCTTGAGCTGGTCCTCCTGGCCTSGTAAACTGGGAGATGAGGGGTAATGGTCCCAGGCCTGGACAYAAGCTGTTGACACTGCCAGAGGGAGACGGGGTGGGRGACTGAGYGGGAGAGGTCAGAGGACTCGTCAGCTGAGTGCTGGCCTAGMCACAGATAAAAATGATGAAAGAGAGAACAATTAAACTAATTAGGTGGACATTTTGTTCAACATAATACTCACTTTAAAGAACATACTGATCTATTTAAACTATTACGTAATATCACATATGACCACTAGAGGGTGATAGGGAAGAGGACAAACTGCTTTGAAATAACTTTATCCCTAATCAAGGAGATTTTAAGGTGTTTCTATGTACCTGTGGAGTGTTATCAGVTTTGTAGAGCTCTCCTGGTTTGCTGGGTCTCTGTTCTATGCTGTAATACTTGCATGGATTCCATTGGACCAGAGGGGGATTCTGGGAAGGCTGTGGTCCATTGGGGACACTGAGCTGCATGACCATCACCCCAGGTCCAGGAGGAGCGACWCCTGGGGGAGCACAGACAGACAGGAWATATAATRTAATGAGCTTTTGAAGTAATCTGAAGACAACCTATAATAAAAATATTGTCATGACCACTTTCCTAACATTATTGTATTATGAACAGCTGAGAAGTAGAAAACTGAAACAGTTGTATATTTGAACATTGGTAATACAGTTTTTTTTCACAATTTTTTTGTTATACATAAACATTCTCCTGCGTAAACAACATGTGGATAACAGACTTCAAAGACAACGTGACCCTAACATAACTGGRACATAAGAGTTTTGATCAACATCTTCTTCAGGTTTAAGCTGGATCAAAATAAACCTGTAAGGTTTGTTTTCCTTGGTTTCTTCAAACATTACCTCTTTAAAGCCCATCGATTTACAACTTGATGGCATGAACTCCACGTACCTTCATCTAAACTTTTACCTGAATAACTCCACTCTAATCTTTTATAGGGTTATAACAGGCATTCTGTTTTTGGGATGAGTATTGCAGCAGAAGTACAAAAAGTTCCAATGTTGACTTTTTTTTTACACTTTTAACAATATACAGTATGTTCAAAATGAATGGATGCCGCTAAAACGACAAATTTTATAGTGTTTGGAGGATAATACCAACATGTGTAATTAAAACATAAATTAAAACGTTAACGGCAGACCTCACCTGAATATTGCTGTTGCAATGGCTGAGGGTTGCAGGGAGATGGCAATCTGAAACTGCTCTGAGCTGGGTGGCTGCAGATAGCCTACAGACGGGCTGCAAGAAAAATGAATAAAAATAGCAGTAACAGTTTCATCATTTTCCAGATGAAACACAGTTTTAATTAATTGAAATCATTTACTGCATTTCTCAAAGTTTGAGTATACTTTAATCTGAGAAATATTACAGTAAAAACCCATTTTAAAAAGTTTAAATTGAATGTAAAACGTGTACTTTAAGGCTGGATGAGAAATATTCAATCATCAAATCTCTTGTGTGAATAAGATCTACTCATACCTTGTGCTATTTTGCTGTGTGGGTGTGATAACACTGTAGTAGACAGGCATGGGCCCCTGGACAGACTGGCTGACTGGTACCATGACCTGCTGCTGGTACTGCTGCTGCACCACCTGCTGATTTTCATTTGCCACTGGTACCTGAATTAGGAAAGAAGAAAATCAGGAACAGACGTAATAAGTGTCATTACTGCCGCCAAAGATAAAGAATCAATGGCCGTTCTAAAAGTTAAAATAAAATGAAAACTAACAGAAGCATTAACTCATACCAGTCACAATAACAAATTTTAATGGACGATAAACTGTCTTAGAAATTACTGTGATAAACAATATTGTTGGAGACCAGTTTAAACAAATATTATGATATAACCCCCCGTTTACGTAAGTTTACATTAAAATTTGCATAGTGTAAAAATGAAAAACATGCCACACATTCATTCAGCTTCTCATTGRCTTTAAATGGTGAMATCAATAGAACTAACTTTAATCAGAGTAAATACAGTATRATGTGYTGCCTCTGATGGGGTAAAATGTATAAACTCACATCTTAAAGCTCAGACATTTAWGCTGTCAGTTTATCATTACTATGAAAAATGACTAGAAAACAAACATTTCTCCATTCAATATATTTTGCTGTACAGCTGAGAAGGAACAGTTTATACCTGAWATGATGGCATCTGTGGATATTGGACCATTATGCTTTGCATCTGTCCTCCCATGCCTGCCCTCTGGGAATTAAGAAGGCCAGGGTTTGGAGGCTGCTGAACCCCCATCATACCCTGATAGCTTGGCTGCTGGCTGGGCATTATGGTCTGAAGACCTGATGACGATAATTATGGGAAGACAAAAAAAATTAATAAATAAAAGAGACTAATGAGAAAGTAATATAAATACAGAGGAAAAAATGTTTTAGAACTCTAGGTCTACATTTGTTGCTTTGTTTTCAGTTTTACATTAAATTTAATGATCAAAAAGATATTCCTTTAATAACGTGAAATTTAAAAGCTAATGGTTTCACACTGACTGGTACAAACCAGACAACATCAAGGTTTTTCCTGACCTTGTTCATTAGCTATGTGCATTGGCTGCCTTCCATTATAACCCAAAGTCCATTTAGGCAGTCAACACGGTCTGTCACTTACTGTGTAAACACACAGCCCACCTTCACAAATCATAATTTAAAAAAAGCTAAATGCTGAAGCAGCCGTGTGCCAGTGTCTTCTACGAAATGTAGATAACACTACATCGTCCACGCTTATTTGGCTTGGTTAAATAACACAGGGAAAAGGTCGTTTAAATGTAACCTTTCACACAGTTTTCACAAACTCAAAACAGACAGCTTGTTATCGTCCTTGAGGTAAAACAAAATAGTTACAGTAATGAGGTCAATCCAATGTATATTTTGCATTTTTATAATAACTATCAACATAAATAAATACATTAGAAAAGTTTACATTTATACATTCAGAAGAAAGTGTAGCACGGGACAAAATGTGCCGACCTGACTGCTGTGTAGGCTGAGGCATGGGTTGTGTGCGTTGGGCCGGGTAAGACACCTGGTGGGACATAGGCTGGGACACACGGTACTGCTGGCCTGAACTGGGATACTGACCAGGAGGATAATACGATACCTGGATCTGAAAAGAAATTACAAAATCTGTTTGAGACCACATAATATAAGAGAGGGAAAAAAGGTAAAACATGATGCTCAAATAAAGTGGCTTACACTTTGACAACACATATTTGTACATTACTGTAGGTTAGATCATTTAAACTGATCCTTTATTATTTTTATTTGTTTTACTTCAATTAATTTTTAAATGTCTTTATATTAAAGTAGAATTTATCTACTACAATAAATAAATAAATAAATAAAAATTATTATAATTTTTTTAAAACAATTATTGATAGCCAGTTCAGTATAGGCAAAAAAAACAAAAAAACACTGTAAATGAAGTATAGATGTTACATTTAGGCCTTCAAGTATTTATCTTGATAATAAAACTTACTACAGACATGCTGGACCAAAGAGATGAGCAAGCACAATGTTAAAAAACTCCCTTTCAATATTACAACTATCCTTAACTTGCAATACTAGACGTTAGACTCCTGGGGGTCTGCAGAAATTAACTGTAAGCTGTATCACCCTGTAAATTGCCACGGGAAAATAATTAATTTCCCCTTTCCACATTCCACAAAAATAAATGGACGCCTTGCCATGTATTTCTAATAATGTTTTTAAGTTCTTCGTTTCTGTTTGCTAAGAGCAACTAGATTTGAATTTGTATTGCTGTTTCAGAAGTAACGTTCAATGTCAAACTTTATTTATGAAGCGCTTTAAAAACAGCCAATAGTTGCACCAAAGTGCTGCACAGCCATCTACAAACACAAAAATTGATAAAAATACATAATAAATTACAATGAACAATAGTAAGAACAGATAAAAATTACAATGCCAGGTCTTGTATTAATTAAATGCCTTAGAATAAAAGTGAACCTTCAGAAGCACTTTGAAGTTTTCCAAGCTATAAGCAGATATAATGTGAATGGGCAAGTTGTTCCATAGACTGGGAGCAGATACAGCAAAAGCACATCACCTCTGCTCATAAGTCTAGATCTTGGAACATCTAGAAGCATCTAGGGGTGTCCCGATCCGATATCGATATCGGATATCGGTCCGATATCAGCCAAAAAACGAGTATCGGATTTTATCGGCCTGCATAAAAAATGTCCGATATAAGCGCTCTGATAAGAGCAGTCCGTTCCAGCAGTTCACTGACTCCGCTCCAGTGTTTCTATCCAGCAGCGCTTGGATCCTGCTTGTAGCGCTCACGTGATCATAACAGCAGCAGCGCTAACAAGTTAGCAAGAATGTCGGCAGCAGAACTTTTTATTTTCATCARAAACAGAGTTGCAGCTAAGTGTAAAGTTGTCATGCACAAGTTTTCCGAGGGGAAACACAGAACCGTGAACGTTTTAAACCGGAGCGACAACTACTCTCCACCCTGGCAGCAGCTTTGCGGTTCGGCTCGGTTCAGCCTCGGTCCAGTGACCGCACACAGCCGCGCTGTTTCGGAACCTCCTCTCTGGTCCGGTCGGTGATTCTAAGCGGGCAGAAGCGAGGACAGCACGCTTGTTTTGACATCCGTGGATTAGCTCTTGATGGACAGAAGAAAGGAGAGCACAGCTTTTGTTTTGAAATTTAAGCGCGACATGACGAGAGCAGTGATAAAAACTGCTCCCTGCAGGAGCGAGAGGCTAATCTCCACATGATGCTCAGACTGTAGAAAGTGGAAATTTAGCACTAAGAAAGGTAGCTATCAGTTTAAATAACTAATTCTTACTATTTATTTTTTGCTCTTGTTATTAGAGTGATGTTTAATCTGTTTACACACTTGTTTGAGTGAAGATTAAGTGCAATGATCATGTTGTTTTGGTTACAGTCAGTAAAATTGTAGCTGTGGACGCTTAACTTTGAACAGACAATAATGTGGGCTTTTGTTTTGTCCCCACCTTCAGTTATTCCCACCATAAAGCAGCACAAGGCTGACAGATGGTAAAAAAATAACTGGAGTGATTTTGAATTATTTTACACTGTAAAAGTACATTTTGTTTTTATTATGTTATTTTTTCAGGGTATTGTAATTTATTTTATTTATTAAATTGTATAATGTTCTTCAGTGTAAAATGTATGTGATCCATTGGTTTAAAATAAATGGGTCAGTTTTTCTCATACCTACTCTTTTTCACTGTTTGACCTGATCAAGATTTTTCTAAGATTTTACACTACAAAATAGGTAAAAGTGTGTGACTTGCACTGTTACAGTAACGGGTCAATATCGGTATCGGTCAATATCGGTATCGGACATTTCTCAAAGTTGTAATATCGGTATCGTATCGGAAGTGAAAAAGTGGTATCGGGACATCCCTAGAAGCATCTGGTTTTTTGACCTCAATGTTCTAGATGAAGAGTGAACATGCAAGAGACCATGTAGATAGGTTGGAGCAAGACCATTTAAAAACTAACAATAAAATCTTAAAATCAATTCTATAAGATACAGGTAGCCAGTATAATGAAGCCAGCACAGGTGTTATATGCTCATATTTCCGTGTACCAGTTAAAAGACGGGGTGCAGCATCTTGAATCATTTGGAGGCGATGCAGGGAGGACTGATCTACGCCCTTGTACAACGAATTACAGAAATCCAAAGACGTTGTGATGAAAGCATGAATAATTTTCTCAAAATCTCTGAAACAAAAATAGGACTTCACCTTGGCTGAAAGACGTAAATAGAAAAAGCCTGATTTGACAACTGAATTCACTTGCTTATCCAGTTTCAAACGGCTGTCAAAGACACCACCAAGATTTTTAACAGATGTCTGGTTAAATGGAGATAAAGATCCAAGAATTCTATCAGGGTCAATTCCAGTATTTTTCTGTCCAAATAAAATAACTTAGGTTTTGTTATCATTCAAATGGAGAAAGTTTGAGTCCATCCATGATCTCATTTTACCTAAACAGTCTAAAAGAGACTGTAAAGAATTATCCTTAATCTTAAACTTTCTAAAAGTGTGTCCAAGAGGCAGCATATACAGTGAAAACAAAACGGGCCCAGAACTGATCCATGAGGGACTCCATACTTTAAAGGTGCTTCGGCAGAGGAAGAGTGATCTAGATCAGGGGTCACTAGATGAACAGAGTAGCTCCTGTCCGTCAAATGTTATAGCAAGTTGCCTAAAAGGTTGGTAAGGTTAGGATCAAAGCCAAGATCAATAATAACAATAAAGATATAATTAAAATACTGATCTGTTGATCCTAAATAACTGCTTGTTTGAATGACTTCAGGATAGTTGTTTGATGAGATCTAACATTAATACAGAAAGGTGTATTGGGTGATGCAATGCATGAGAGCACAGAGCACAAGTTGAAACTGTACAAGATAAATGTAAAATAAAAAAAAATGCATTTTTTATTAATTTGATATTGTAGATGGAAAAAGATAATCTCTAACTTAAAAACTATGTACAAATTTATCTGAGCCCTGTCTGTCAGTTACATGGCAGTCTTTGTTTCTATGTTTGAAATTTTACCTTTTTAGAAAACTTACTTACACTAATAGTATTGTTTTGGAAAAAGGCCAAGACTTTTACAAAAAAAACATTTGTCTAATCCTTATTGCCAAGCTCTTTCCTGGATTAAGTGTTATTCACACGTGTCAAGTGATGTTTTTCTATCTGCTCTAAATCTGCTCCACAGTATAAGAAAAAATAAACAACTTCTCATTTGCATTACCAATACTTTAGTGATCCAATAGAATTACACATTTGTTACTTTATATAATGTTTAAAACTGACTGTGATTCCTTGTTTGGAGTTTATCATTAAATCTAATAATTCCTTAAGAACATAAAGTGGAGGGGAAAAACATTTAAAAGCAGAATTTGTATCCATCTGATACCTTCATTTAACAATTTGTCAAGAGCAACATACCTGCTGAGGTGGAGGGGGCTGTATGTAGCCCTGTGGAGGCGGTGGAGCCTGTATGACAGGTTGGGATTGAGGAGGAGGTGGAGGCGGAGGATGAGGGTGTCCAGTAGCAGTTTGGTAGCCAGAAGGAGGCTGCAAAGGCTGGCCTGTAGTAGCCATGATGTAGCTGGTCTGAGGTGGGGGATGCTGTGACAGCACTGTGGGAGGAGCCTGATACATGGGGGGTGGTTCTGGGTTCTCGCTGGAGCCCTGTCGACTCAGCGTCATCTGGGTGAACTGAGATGCCAGCTCTTCTCCCTGGGAAGGTTTAGAATGGGTTTAATACTGGATCACTTTGTGGCTGTTACCACTCTATCAGAGCCTTTTTGTGAAATTGGTGATGCAGTGTAAAGAATAAAAAACACTAGGGCTGCACCAATTAGTTGAAATAATTGATGATGTCGATTATGTAAATTTGTCGACGCAGATTTTTTATTATTGATTAGCTGTATTACATAACAATCACGTGAATGTTCATGCAATTCCATTTCGGTACCTAAATGCATCATTGCGACCGTATTGGCATAAGAGTGGTGAGTTTTCCATGCTTGTCCTGAACGCAGCATCGCGCAAGAGCGTAATGACGTCAGCAGCCGCTGCTTCAGTTCAGTCTGAAGCTTGAAAACAAGCCTCGCAGCTCCTGGAGTAAAATTTACCGATCAGACCGCCTCTGAATTATCTGGTGGATTAATTATCTTGTGAACATGATGTTCGCTCGCTCCAAGTAAATAAAGTACCACCACTTTCTTTATTTCATCCACCATTAAACAGAGACCGGTGTTAGGTCGAGCCACGTTCCCCCATCAGACGGTTCCCCCAGCGTCTCAAACAACAGAGGAGCTTCCCGACACACGTCTGACCTAAAGAGCACAAGCAGCCAACAAGTGTTGGACGTGTTCTGGATGTTCAAAACATAGTTTAAATACCTTTTATTTATTTTAACTGCATCCTCTTTTGTTTATTTGATTAAAACTTATTTGCCTTCCATGGACCTCCATCACACATTTTTCTAGTGGGGAAATGACATCAATAGAAACACGTGGAGCTGGATTTTAATTTGTGCAATAAGACAAAACAGTCTTGTTGTTTTCAACAGTTTTCACCTTAAAGTAATAAGTTACACAACTGATGTTACAATACAAAGAGTTGGATGTTGTCTTGATTTTTGTTAAATTTTATATATTGAAAAATATGTTAAATAAAAAATAATAAATAAATGTTTATTATATGTTTATTATAGGTTTTCCAGAGAGTGACTTGAATTTTGCATGATTTAGTTAATTTGTTAGATTGTTAACATC